GGTGGAGGGGTGGGGGGTGCAGGCGCATGTAGTCTTGGGAACTGAGCCCTCACCATGTGGAATCTGACACTATCTATCTCCAGGTAGACAGTGTTGGAATTAAATTAAATTAGAAGACACCCAGCTGGTGTCCACCCCAAAACTGGTTATTTGCTTGCTAGTAGGGAGAAATCCTTACACATTTGGTCATAGAAGTCTGTTTTCTGTATTGACTGTTGCTGAGTAAGAGAGTCCAGGAAACACACAACTTGGTATGTGTTTTTTCTCTTCTTACAGAATCCATTTACACAATGTTAATCCCAACAACTAGTCAAATTATGGGTAGTTTTCCCTTTTTCTATTCTGCATTTACCAATTTATCTACTTACTCAAAGTTCTAGCTCAACTCCTTTCTCTTTGTTAACAGAATCATAAAAGATACAATTTCAATAGCAGGAAAAAACCCACAAAGAATAAAGAAACAGATTAGACTCTGCATGTAGTATACTTACAAATTGCCTGGACAATCATTGTGTCCACTTTATCAGCACTAAATTTCAATCTATATCGTGACAGGCTGAGGAGAAGGGGAAAAATAGCAAATCAGTAAGATATCACCTAGAAAAAGCACTTATTAACATCTTTAAAAATTTTTTAACTTAAACCTCTCTCCTCAGAGCTACATTGTTTTATTTTTAGTTTTTCAAGTAGGAAAACCAGTTAAATAGAAACATACTATGCAAAATTAGAAAGTACACATTTAAAAAATACATCTGTCCTGCTACAACCTGTATTTCTGTAACAAAATTAGTTTATGTTTGAATGACAAATAGAAAAAATGCTGTGTAGTGCAAAAGTCATATTGGTTCGTGTGATTTTTTTTGCAGCACATTAATGACTTTACACCACCAGTTAAGAAATATCACAGCACTCTAATATCTTAAAACAAAGCTGTGGAGGAACAATACTACAACGGTTTTTTAATGTTGGCACTACTGACATTTTAGTCCTCATAACTCCTTGTTGTAGTGGACTGTCCTGTGCATTGTAGGACATTTAGCAGTATCCCTGACCTTCACCCACAGATGTTAGTGGGAGAACCCACCCCAACCCATCCCCAGTTGTAACAATCAAAAATGTCTCTGGACATTGCCAAATGACCCCTGGGGACATCTGACTGCCCTTGATAGAGAACCACTTCTATACTCAATGCTGATTAATCACAAATTTGGATCTTGAATCAGTTTCACTATTTGTTATCTCTTAGAAATACTTATTATAAAGTTTTTTCTGACCTCTATGCATTTTGCTCTTATCTCTAACTCAGCAGCTTCAACCTTTTCACCAATGTATTCACTTTTGTTCATTTACAGGTATACACCTTTGTTTACTGTCATATTTCTTTAATACAAATTTAACATGTCTTTTTAAACTGTGCTAAAAATTTTATTAGGATTGTTTCATAGTGCTGATTACAAAATTGCATAAGTTTTGAGTAGTCTACCCTTAATCCCATATTTTCTTCCCAAACCCTTTTATTTTCAGAGCAATTTCACAGAATGTCAAGCTTTTCATGAACATATATATATACATATATATATATATATACATATATATATATATATACATATATATATATATATACATATATATATATATATACATATATATATATATATACATATATATATATATATACATATATATATATATATACATATATATATATATATACATATATATATATATATACATATATATATATATATACATATATATATATATATACATATATATATATATATACATATAGCAGAGCTGGAATGTCTGTTTTAAGGGACCTCCGATTAAACAAGGTAGGGTTAATGTGCTTTTATTTGCCTCATTCTAAAAATTCATTAAAAATCAGAATAAATTCAATAAATGGTGCTGGGAAAGTCAGATATCCACATGCAGAAGAATGGAGCCAGACCCCCATCTCTCATCATGTAAAAAAATCAACTAAGAATAGACTGAAGACTTAAATACAAGACACAAAACTATGAAACTACTAGAAAATACAAGACACAAAACTAGGAAAGATAGAGGAAATGCTTCATGACATTTCTGGGCAAAGATCTTTTGGATATGATCTTGATGGAGTTTGTATGTGTTGTCCCCTCCAAAACTCATGTGGAGATTTGATCTCCAATGTGGCAGTGATGGAAAGTGATTGAGTCATGGGAGAGGATCCCTCATGAATGGATTAATGCTCTCCCTGGGGGAGGAGGGATTAATGAGTGAGTTCTTGCTCTATTAGTTCCCGCAAGAGCTCATTGCTTAAAAAGACCCTGGCACCTTCTCTCCCTTTCTTGCTTCCTCTCATCATAGAAAACCTCAGTGCTTGACAATATTAGAAGTAAATATTGAGGTTTTCTGTACATTAAATACATTACTTTTATGTATTTAAATGAACTTCTGGAATTAATAACTGACTTACAAAAAAAAAAAAACAAAAAACCCTCAAAATCCCTTTAGCACATAGCTATCATTTCACCTGATACTTACCTACATGAAGAAACCTATAAAATATAATGTAATCCTTACTTCATGAATCAGAGATATGTTTATGATCACAAAAGTTAACTTGTCACTGTAATATCTACTGTAACTGCTGAGGATCAAACCTATCACAACTAGCTCTCAAACTGTTCTGCTTTTCCCATTTGGGAGGCTACTTTTCCAGTCTTTCCTTCCACTCCTCCTTCTTTATGTTTTATCTCTAGTAACAACACCCCCTACTAAAGTTTTCTAACAAATGCATTAAAAAAAAAAAAAAGAAAATGTCCTGGGCTGGCCAGTTGGCTCAGCTGGTTAGAGTGTGGTGTTGATAACACCAAGGTCAAGGGTTTAGATTCCTGTACCAGCCAGCTGCCAAAACAAAACTCACTTCTTTTCCTGACTCCATTTGTTTAATAATAATTTTTTTTTTAAAAAAAAGGGCCAAACAAAAATATGGCAGGATATACTTGTACACTGGGTGTTAACAGATTATATATGGATAACAGGGTTAAAATTAATTTTTATCTTTTTTTTTGTTCATCTGTATTATCTATAATGAACAGGCATTAGTGATGTTTGGTTCTGCTGATTCTAGTGGAAATCTATTATGCAGCCTAGAGAAAAACAATCAAGAATGAGAACTTATTACAGAAAACTTACTACAAAAACTAGGCATTGTAGTCAGTATGCATGTGTGAAATCTGACTAGTAGGCATGAAAATCATGAATTTACCTTTATAACCCCTCCTAGCTTAGCATCCGCTACAGCCAAAGGTTCATGGGCTTCTTTTACTATTTTCTTCAGAACTTTCTTCAGCTGCTTATTAATTTTACCCTCCATCAGAGCTGTGAATGCTTTTCAGGAAAAAGAAAACCAAGAAAATTAACTCTCACATTTTTAACTGTGAGTGCTTGTCTTACTCAAATTCAAAACAAAGCAAAGCAAACACCTCCTTTCAAAAGGCCCAAATTTAATGTTACTTGTAAAACGAAATGATAAATGTAGAGCTGGCAAGTTAGAGTGTGGTGTTTGTTATAACACCAAGGTCAAGTGTTTGGATCCTTGTACTAGCCAGCCCTGCCCCCCGCCAATTAAATGCTAAATGTAAAAATATCTTAATAAATTATATGCTTCATAATCTCATTTGAACTTCCTGCCCTCATGTCTGCTCCAGAGGCAGCAGTTAAATCGGGTCCAGGGCTCCTTTCCCTATGTCACGTGATTCTTCTCATGAACTCAGAGAATCAAATCTTAGAAACAATCCAGACTGACCTGATGTTCTGGATTGTGAAATACCCTAAAATCATATCAAAACTGGTTTAAAAACAAAAGAATGTAATCATTTTGAAGGCACTGCCACAGTATAAGTATACTTGCTTCTGATCCCAGCTCCATCCATCCATCTGAATTACAAGTCTATTCTGTCTGTTTTCTGGGAAGATTAAAGGTGAGGACATTTAGTAGCATCTGGCTACTATACAGCTCTTGCAGGGGTCTCTACACTCTAGGAAGCTAGGATTCAAATTACTTTTGCTGGGTTCTAACTGTTCAGATTTTATACAATATTGATTCCTTATAATTCTTTTCAAGTTTTTAAATCCTCCTTAATAATAAAAAATTTTTATTCTCCTTAATAATAAAAAAATTTTTATGCTTCTAGCTCTTAATCTTCCATATTATCTACTTTAAATTTTATTTATTTACTTTGGCAACTGGTTCAGGATCTGAACCCTGACCTTGGTGTCAGCAGCACCCCGTTTTAACTAATTGAGCTAACAAGCCAGCCCCACTTTTACTTTTAACCTAGTGTTCTCTCTTATTTAAAATTTATTTCTTGGGGCTGGCCAGTTAGCTTAGTCGGTTAGAGCAGTGTTATAACACCAAGGTCAAAGGTTTCGGTAAAAAAAAATTATTTCTTAAAAGCAAACATCTCTACCCTAGATTTATTCTAACATTTATGAACACGTATCTTCCCTTTATCAAAAGCTCTAATTATTTTACATAATATGTATTTTTAAAGTGTGGTATATCCTTTAGAAATAAATAGGGATGGCTGCAGAAGGTGCTGGCTCAACTGGTTAGAGCATGGTGTTATAATACCAAGGTCAAGGCTTTGGATCCCTGTCCTGGCCAGCCAACAACACAAAAGACAAAGAGAGAGAGAGAGAGAGAGAGAGAGAGAGAGATGGTTGCAAGTACAAGGGGAAGCTGAGTCCCCTATTTCCTCTAGCCACTTTTCAGCATCCTTAAGTAGTCTTCCCACTTCATCCAAATGTAGGCTGGCCCCCAATTTTCCTATGATGACATGTCAGACTTGCAAGTTGAATATTCAACCAAGAGTAAAAATAAACCTCTCCATGCAAATGTATGAACTTCTGGGACCAACACAGATTCTCTTTTTTTTGGGGGGGGGGGGAGGCAGCTGTTTGGTACAGGGAATGAACCCTGGACCTTGTGTTATCAGTACCATGCTCCAACCATCTGAGCTAACTGGCCAGTGCCCCAACACATATTCTTGACAACACATCCCATATTTCAGACTCTTTAAGGCTATGGGTTTAAAACGTATATTGTGACATCTACAGCCACCCAGTTTTTGTTCTGTCATGTCAAAACTGTTTTATAAAAGGCAGTGAAAGTTAATTCCCAGGAAAGGATTCTGCTCTCTTAATAAAGTGATGTTCAGCTTCCTGGGAAAAACAGACAGACACTGTAGTGGTTTCTATGACTAAATTCCTAACAGAGCTCACTACTTCCAGTCATTTCTCCCAAAATTCATTTCAAAACATCTTTAGCCAGATACTGTGCTAGAAACTAAAGATTTGATGGTGAAGAACACAGTCTCCATCCTTACGGAACTTAGACTGAGGAAGGTTTGACCTTAAAATGCTCACCTAGCATGGCATTTCCCCCATTTATCTTACATTATTTTAAAGAATACAAAGAAGCCAGGGAGGGAATTCAGAGGTACCTCTCAAGTCTTAAATTTTATCATCTGTTACTGAGATGATAACATATACCTCACAGGACTACTTCAAGGATTAAATAACAATGGTGAGGTGATGAGCACAAAACTGACAATCACTATGTGATCAATACATTATTATTAATAGTAAAAACCTACTTGTGCCTGGGTAAAGACTGAGCTTGTCCATTTAATAAAGTTTAATAAGGACTGGTCAGAAATATCCCAAACAGATTACAGAAATTATGTGCAAAAAGGAATCCAGAAGAGGCCACTTGTGATCAGGGCTACAGTACTTTACAATTCCAGGAGCTGTTCATACCACAGTCTATGTAAACAATGCCCCCTAGAGTTGGAGAAGAGCTGACACAATTTTGCTTGAGATTTCACCAAAATTCTACCCATACCCATTTTAAAACTGTAACGAACAGAACTATCTTTTAAAAAATTTTCCAGGTTAATATTACGGTAGTTGTGCTTTATGGTTCTGAGGCTCTAACTACTGATTGTGTTGATGAAACAGGCCTAGAACTATCATTTATTTAAAATATAAACTGAACGCATTATTGGGTCCTCCTTCAGCCTACCCCTGTGCCAAGATTAGAGTGGCCTATTAATATTCCAGCATATTTAGTTGGATTCCCAATTTTCACAGGAGAACCTTACCTTTCCCCTGTGGCTGTTTAAAAAATTATTTGCACCTGCCAAATTCTTGCCTAATTTTAAGCCATATTCTTTCTTACGGCCCTTCGTTTTCAAGTTATACCACCATGAATGACACAGACTTTAAGCAACTGAAAAACTGATGATTTGGGTTTTATATGTGTCCTTTCTCTTTTCCTCAGTACTTAAAAAAAACTTAAGACCCACTGAAGTCAGTCAGTTAATAAACCCTACCACTTTATTTCTGTTGTCCCATGAGGTCTAGTTGAAATGTGTGAGTCACCCATTCCTCTAAATCTTTAAAAACTATGGCCCCCACCCTTAGATAAACAAAACTCTTGTGCTTCTCTGTATTTTTGTATTGGAAAACAAAGAATGTGCAAACATACATACACAAAACACAAAAAACTCCAACTCTATTAGTTTCCCTACAACTTTTAATAACATTGATGTGCCTTTTTGAACTAAAAATGTTTACCCCTAGAGAGTCTTACTATGATTAAGTTTTTCAACTGTGAATTCTGGCTATTTTCAACTTTACCACTGGATTAAAATGATCAGAGAGCTGTGTACTTGACCACATTACCTTGGTCCCTTGTAGAACAGCTTTTACTGAATTGTGCTTCAGCATTATGCTGCTGGTTTCCACAGGGAGATCAATTTAACCACTTCTCACCTCTCATCACATGGGGGAAAACCAGCCCTATGATGAAAAAAGCTAACTCAATGTTGTCTCAGTGGTAGTGACGAATCTGAGTTAGATCACTTAAATTCAGTTACAATAAGAATGCATCATTGACAACATTGAATAAAGTTAACTCAGGCAACTGAAGAAAACAACCTTTTAATAAGGAAAACAAACAGCCAAGATCTAAAATAAAAAGAAAGCAAGCTTCTAGTCTTTAACTTTACCTGCTAATGCTTCTGCTGTATCCTGAAATTTTTCAAAATGTTTTAGCTTTACTCTAGAATTAAAAAGAAAAGAAACATGTTATGGGGGCACACTGATTCTGCAAAAGCCACACAGCTGGGAAAGTGTTGGACTGTTTCCAAAATATACACCAATAAAAGAAACTTGCCTGTCACTGGGTATCAGGGTGCAAAGTTAGATGTTTTTCATAAAATGACCAGTTTTTCTAAATGTTGAGCTAGTAGAGCTAGTTACATTTGGACCATTACAGAGAAAAGTTGTAGGATTTGAAGGAAACTTAGGCCAACAGTAAAAACGCTGAAGCTTCAACATAACCCCTGCTGCTTAAAGCTGAACACAGATGCCTTTTACTATACAGCACAGAACTGACCCAAGAAAAAAATATTTGAGTCCCTTAGGTCAGGAATCTCATGACATTCATTTGCCACCCAGTACAAATGCCATTAAAAAATAGCTTATAGTCTGATCTGATTCCTGTTACCCTTATTCTACTCCTTTTATCCCCCTATACACTTATGTGCAGGGTAACATTTTATATAGAAAAAAACATACATCTAGTTTAATTCATCATTGTCTCAGTGGTAGTGACGAATATTTGAGTTAGATCATTTAGACTCAGTTCCAACAAGAATACATCATTGACAACAATGAATCAGATTAATACAGCAAAGCATAAAAACACTTATTTGGCTACAACAGTTATCTTGAGCAAGGTTTTGTTACCTGGCAAGGGATATCATGCTGGTGGTCTCTTAAATACACACTTAAAGGTACAAAGATTTAAGGAAAAAGTAATAATTTCATTGTATTCTGGCTTACTCTACCCCTATTTCCACCCTTCTAAAGTAGTATTTAGTCATATCTCTCTATACTTGAATAAATGCTCGTATAGATATACAAAGGCAATGCAAAAATGGGATCATAGTAAACAAATTATGCCGAAGCTTGATTTTTTCATTGTATCATGGACCTTTCTATAGGCCACCAAGAGATCTACAGATATGCTACAATTTAGTCAACAATTCCACTACTGATGGACATTTAGGCTCTTTCAAATTTGGGGCTGTTACCACTACAAATGCTACAACTCTGTATTTTGTTTCTCTAATGGTTTGGTATGCCATTTCTTTGGGTTTGGCACTCTTTAGCGAGCCTGAAAGGTTTTCTTCTATTTTTTTGTGATTTTATTAGCAACAGGAGATGAATTGTCAGCATCCACAGACATAATCATAGATATATCCCTCCAAATCCACAAGTATGAAGAGGATCAGTCAGGCCCTTCCTAGGACCACATTCACCAAATGGACTATTTCATAAGGTGACTCACAGATGATAAAAAGCCATCTTGACTCTACTTTGAGGAAAAGCCAGCTTTCTCTCCCACCACTCACTCCTTAAGTTGGGCATCAAAGTTAAAATCTACCTCCTTTCTCATCAAGAGATCTTGAGGAATGCAGGTTTATCTTTCAAGGATTTACTAGCTAGTTATTTTATTACTCCACAGGGAGCTATAATGGAGGCATAAAGAATGAATAACCTACGAATTTAAACTAATTTTGGGGTGCTGCCCAATCTAGTCTGTAACTAATACAAATTAGTTTAGGTGCCTATGTTCCAAATAAAACATCTGTAATAATCTGTAACAGTCATACCAATATTCCTGAAAAAGATTTCAAAACAAAAAACTATGAGTATAATAACATACAAATCAGAAGGGAAAAAATAGAAATAAAACAAACTCTAAATGCTAACTGCTAAATTCTTAGTTTCAAGATTACTTACATTTTATTTGCTTTCTCTGGAGTTTCAAATTCTTTCCACAAACTATCAACCTCTTGAAGTTTCTTCTCATTTAGAACCTGTAATTAAATATTAATGGCACAACTTAGGCATACATAGCTACATTCTTCAAGGACACTATACACATAAAATGAGAGTGGTAGAAGATACATCTCTCACTGAAATAATGAACTAGTTTTCCAATATAGCATAAATTTGTCAAATTAGTGGTTTGAGTTACCCATTTTACAACCAGATGACATGAAGGTTAAGGGTTCAGATCCCTTTACTGGCCAGTTGCCAAAACCCGAAAAACCAAAACCAAAACAACAACAACAAAAACCAAACAACTGGATGGGATTCAGATCTAGTAGGTAGTCTTTGTTGAGAGCCTCTATTTTTAAGGAGCCCTTAACCTCTTTACAATGCATAACATATTCAAAGATCACTAAAAGACTTTCTTTGCCCACTTCCAATAGGCTACATCCTGTTATTTACTGCTATGATCATCCTAACTTAAAAATATTATGGATTTTTCTAAAACTAAGATATCATTAATTATAAGACACCTCCTGATGTAAGAAATTTTAAAGTGCAAAAGAAAAATAGGGCACTTTTAATCAACAAAACAGTCATTAACATTTTAAGTATTTATTCTTGAAGACTTTTTGAATGTCTATGCAACATGCTGTTCATGCATACTTTTAGGAACCACACCACACAATTACCATCCACATAATTCTATGTTTTAACAACCTGGAATTGCATGGTATGAACATACATCATTTTTGCCCTTACTGATATTTAAGTTGGTTTCTAGTTTTTCCCTTTTAATGCTTCAGAAAACATATCTATGTATGTATACAAGTTGCATTTCTATAGGACAGGTTGTGAAAGTGGAGTTAATTGATCACATAGAATATGCATATTTTATGGTGACATGCTGCCAAATTGCTTAAGAGAGTCTATCAGTTTCACTTAAATCAAGAGTGAATAAAAATCCTTATTTCCCTACAGCCTCACCAATACTCAATGTGATAAGTCAACTGCCCAAGTATAGGATAGGATAGGATCGACACTAAAATGCACCCTCCCCATATTTAACATCCCTGAAATTGGGATGCCTTACAACTAACTGATGGTGGGTTAGTTTAATCAGCAGTGTAAAAGAATGGCATGTTAAATTTGGTGAAAATACAGTATGCATAGATATTATGCATATATTTTCATTAAAAAATTAGCTGATAAATTAAAAACTATACATTGATGACAAGCACCATTTTATCAAACCCATTATATTACAGAACACTTACACATTAATACTTATACAGTTATAGTTACGCATGTATTTTTTGTAATAAAAGAAACAATTTTTCAAGTTATACAAAACTTTTAGTTTGTCAGAGAAGTATGGCAAAATGATTTTATAAGAAGGATTTGGGGTTTTTTTGGTTTAAATTAATCCCACCCATGGCTGAATAAAATATATTTACAGAACTTAAACTCAGTTGGTTAGAGTGCAGCTTTATGACACCAAGGTCACGGGTATGGATCCCAACTGGTCAGCTGCAAAAAATAAATAAGTAAATGAATAAATAAAATTACAAGCTACTAATAGTTCTTCTTATGTATCATGTGATCCGAACCCTCTGACGGGAGCGCTGCCGCGCTTCCCAAGCGGCGCACTATCCAGTGCGCCACTGGGCCGGCCCTGAAAGTTATTTTTTAAAGGAAGTTCACAGAATAGCCCCAACTTTCTGAAATTGTTCAGAGACAACTAACTATACTCAAAGTTCACTGACTAGCTTTAGAATCCAAAGACATTCCACCAATCTCATGACTAAAATATTTACTGAAAGTTATTTTTTAAAGGAAGTTCACAGAATAGCCCCAACTTTCTGAAATTGTTCAGAGACACCACTAACTATACTCAAAGTTCACTGACTGTCAAGAGGATGTGTATTGAATAGGGGATATGAATCATGAGTAAACTTAGCATTTTTTCTAGTTGAAAAGCTGGTATATTTGAAGATAACATCTGGGTTAAAAAGTTTGGCATTCTTAAAAGATATAACCATTTTAAACTAAAGTTAAAGCAACAAAGGAAATGTAACAAAATCACGTAATTGGTGACCACCCAAAGGTCTTCCAAGGCTTTGTTACTGCAAACAAAACCTTGGCTCCTATGTTCCCAATTGTGCTACAACATTTAAAAGAGAACTTTACTAATAAAGACAGTCTGAACAAAATAATATTGGATATATTGCTACATTTTCTGTTTTACATTTATCTCAAAATTTCAATAGTTCATTTTCAGACAGAGAAATTAGAAACATTTATATACAAAATCCACTTTAAATTTTATGATTTTGGATTAAGATGAAATAATTTCCATTTCTAAGTATTATCATTTAAATCTTTACCACTGCTTTTATATTCATTTGCTAGTTTTAAAACAAGCCTATTTTAAGACATATACTGAAACATTTACAGATAAATGTCTGGGATTTGCTTCAAAACAACACAGTGGGGGAAGGGAGTGGGAAAGAGTTGAAGCCGAGTGGCCAGATGCATGTAGGTTCATTATAATCTTCTTCCACTTGTTTGAAATCTCTCACAGTAAAAAGTAAAAAACACATTTCACAGTATACCAGAAGTGGCCTGAGCATCCTTTCTCTATTCCAGACAAGAATGAATTTATGAACAGAAAAGAGCACCCTTATATCAAAAGGTATCTTCTCTAATTTTCATTTTTAGTTGACTGAGATTTTGTTTTAAATATTTGATGCTAACTTTTAAAAGTTTTACTTCATCACAGACAATATGGGAAAGTAATGCTTTACGAAATGAGTATGAATGGATAGTAGTTTAAAATGTGAACTGCTCTACAAATTGATACATGCAACATGAATTAGCTTCAAAAGCACTCTGCCAAGTGAAAACAGCCAAACACAGAAGACTACAATACTACTTCATTTACATGAAGTTTCTGGAAAAGACAAAATTATACAGACAGAAAGCTTATCAGTGGCTGCCTACAGCTGGGACTGACTTGAAAATGGGCATGAGAACTTTCTGGGATGAAGAACACAACTGTGTAAATTTTAATAAAATGTACTGGGTGAGTTATATAGTATGTAAAGTATACCCAATAAAGCTGGAAAAAACATTGCTCACATCTGGTATACACATCAAAAAGCTCTTTCCCTAAGCCTTAACAGAATAAAGGAAGACACAATGCTATGCTATGCAGCTGTACTGTACAATGTGACTATTAAAATTTCAATGAATTAAAATTAAAAATTCATTTCCTCACTTACACTAGCCACATTTCAAGTGTGAAATAGTTATATGTGGTTAGTAGCTACCATCTTGGACAGCACAGCTAAAGAAGTTATGGGATGTGCAAAACTAAAGATTGTGGGCCGGCCCGGTGGCGCACTGCTGCAGTGCGCCGCTTGGGAAGTGCAGCGGCGCTCCCGCCGAGGGTTCGGATCCCACATACAGACCGGCCACTCACTGGCTGAGCGAGGTGCGGGGGCAACACCGAGGGTTGCGATCCGTTGCCAGTCACAAAAAAAGAGACAAAAAGGAAAAAACAAAACAAAACAAAAAAAACCGGGCAACACCGAGGGTTGCGATCCGTTGCCGGTCACAAAAAAAGAGACAAAAAGGAAAAAACAAAACAAAACAAAAAAAACCTAAAGATTGTTTTTAATCTTATGCTGTGTGCTATGTGACACAAGAGACCATTGAGTTTCTGTAATATTCTACAGGAACTATAATAGTTCCTTTACATATTGTCTTTGCATTTATATATTATATAACCTTGTTAATGAGCAATAAGTTCTTGAAAGTGTTTTTAAAAAAATCATTCTATATATTAATATGTATGTGCACACTGGGTCACATATAAAATTGAGGTAAAAAAATTTTGAGGTTAAAAAAACTTTCTTGAAAAAACTTCTTAAAGCATTCTCATCAGGGCTGGCCCATGGCTCACTCGGTAGAGTGCAGTGCTGATAACACCAAGGCCACGGGTTCAGATCCTGTATAGGGATGGCTGGTTAGCTCACTGGCTGAGCGTGGTGCTGACAACACCAAGCCAAGGGTTAAGATCCCCTCACCGGTCATCTTTAAAAAAAAAAAAGCATTCTCATCAACGCATGAATTTTATGAACCAGTATAATTTTATACCTCAGCATTTAAAAAGATTATGGGAAAAGAAGCTAACAACCTTGTACTGTATGTTTACTTTCTTTAGAGATATAATTCACATACCATAGTATTCACCCTCTTTAGTATAGTTTCACAAAATTGTGCAACCATCGTCACTATCTAATTCCAGGACATTTTGTTTGAGGGTATTTCAAAAAGTTTGTGGAAAAATGGAACTGAACAACAGGAATCTTTCCAGAACTTTTTGAAGTACCTTTGCATGTCTGTGTTATTCAGAAAGGATCAGTAACTAATAGATCCCAGGTAATTATAAACTATTATAAATTATAGTCAATATTTCGATATACTCAAGCCTGACTTTAGTTATTCCTTTCATACTAGGTTACATAAACCATAAACCACAATTTTGAATAGTAACCTGCAGATAAGTAACAATGAAAACTCCAACAGAATACCTGAGACTTATTTATATGGGGAAGGATACTCTTCATTACTAGAAATAAAAAATTCACAAAGAGACACAGTTGATTATTTTATGACCCAGGTATAGAAATAAGACAATTGCTTAGCCAATTCCTTCCTACCATCGGAAGCAACCAGTGGACTGTGCAGAGTTGCTCCTCTTAATACCCAGTTCGGGACAGTATACATAACATCAATTTATGATGAAATTCATCGACAGACACTGATTCAAAATATGACAGACCACGGTGGCTAAGATAATTTGGGGCATATGCAGAACTGTACATAAGAATTTAGGTAAGATTCCAAAAAGCTGGAGAAAAGAAAAAATAGACGTGTTCCGGAGCTTTAAAGGTGCCTAGGTCTCTTAAAAGTTCCTTAAAATTGCTGATACTTGCAATTACAGATAACTCCAATGAAAGGAAAAATAAGCAAAGCTGCCTTTTCGCTTTTAATTATTATTTTATTGGCTTTCTTAAAAATAACAAGTATCTGACGTAACAAATACAAATAGGAGTGTATATGCAAATGTCAGAAATGAGAGAAATATAAAGTGAAAAGCTCTCTGTACCCTTACAGACTTTCTGCACCCATACCAGTTTTTTGATTCACAATTAGAACCATACTATACGTATTTTACTAGCACTTTATGCCTTAAATTAACACATAAAAATCTAGTATACGGAAATTTTGTTTTTCGTTGCTAGATTCGCAGAGCTCAGAAGAGTGCGAAGGCACTCATGTACCTTCTTCATTCTTCCCTACTTCTCAAGAGCATCCTTCTGTACGAACGTCCACTACCGTGCTAATGCACTTGTAAGTTAATTCCAAACTTTCCCTATTAAAACAACCAAATTTCAAATTGATATCACCAACCCAGATTTCTCCCTTAAGCTTCAAACTTGAAACACTGAACTGCCTGATCTGTAGGACAACTGCATTACCACGTCTAATAGATAACGCAAGCTTCACACAGCCCAAACCCACAATCTTCTTACTTAACGACACCTTGAATTAAAAACCCACATTCAATCCATCAGCCAATCCTGTCAATTCTACCTTTCTTTCTTAATACTGTTTCCCTCCATATCAACATTAATCCAAGCAATTGCTTCTTGCCTAAATTAATGCAAAAAATATCCTTGCTACCCTTGAATTAAAAACCCACATTCAATCCATCAGCCAATCCTGTCAATTCTACCTTTCTTTCTTGATACTGTTTCCCTCCATATCAACATTAATCCAAGCAATTGCTTCTTGCCTAAATTAATGCAAAAAATATCCTTGCTACTTTTCTTGCCTCCCAGTAATCTAGTCTCCACACAGCAAAGTAACCTTATTAAAATTGGATCAGGTCTTTCCTCTGCTTAAAGCCTTTTGATCACTCCTCAAAACACCCAGAATAAAATCCGAACTCTTTATAACATACAAAACTCCAATACAGCTCTTGCTCATTCCTTCAACCGGTCCAATTCCTCTTAACGTAGAACAGGTCGCCCCAAGAGGTGGGGCCACGTGTTCACCTAAACATGGGCCTTTCAGGCCTGAAGGACTACCCTTTCCTTTCAGAGCCTGGGGACATGAAAGGCACCCACGCGATCGTGAGCAGTTTCGTCCTCTCCTTAGGCTTTTCCCTCTCCTCGCCTGTCCCCACCAACGGCTCGATCTTCCACCCACCTTAAAGATGGCGTAGCCGACGGACGTTTCAAACAGCACCAACATGGTGAGGCCGGGTCAGGGCGCCGCGCAGCCCGCCACGAGCTCCTATACCACTGCAAAAAGCAACTCTGCGGCCCCGAAAGGCCCACTAGGCCGCGGCTGGCAAAGCACAAACGTGCACGTCTTCCTGCAAAGAATCAGGCCACGTTGCCAAAACGCTCCACACCAGACAGCATGCGGAACGCAAGAACGCGCTTCTTCTCCAGGAAGTCTGGGATACGTACGTCACCTTCGGCAGAAGACGGCCGCACAGCGTGCCGTTACTTCCGGAATGTTCCCTCCATAGGGGGCGGGGAGTAGGTCACGAAATTATCGCGATATTTCTTAGGGATTGAAACAATCTCTTGAACAGCCCGGCTGCGCGGAGATCTAAAGAGGAGGAACTTCCCTCACATGTTACAGTCTACTTAACACTCGCCCCTTCCCTCCCATAAAAGGTATATTTTACCTTGAGAGAAATGCGGAGCTGTCTCGGTGCCTGACTGCCTCTGGCATCTGGAATTTGAAATGCCAGCTAGTGCCCTTAGACTTTACTCTCTTTACTTGCCTTGAAGATCTCTGAATGACACCATGTCTGTCACTATATCTGGGAGCACTCCTGGCCGTTCTGTTTTCTCTGGCCAAACTGATTTTCTTGCACAGATTTCTTTCAAATATCTGTAATCTCTCCCATTTTTGCTGCATCTGTTAAAATGACCCTGGAGCATGAATTTGGACTTTGACTCCTTAGTATAATTTGCTTTTCTGGGACCTTTCAGTCTCAGTGACTGAGTTTAAATAGCCCAATTCTTCCACAACTTTGGCTTCCAATAGGAGTAAAATTTCCTTCCTCGCTTCCCAGGTCCTATATGCATATTGCCTGTAAATAATAAGTTCCAACCTGCTCAGGTTTATGGAACACTAAGTAATTAGATTTTTTTTAACAGCATATCTACAACCTGAGATCAAAAGAAAAGAAAATCCTGGGTTGAATAACAGGAAGGATGAAAGTGGTGGAAAGTCAAAGGATAGGGAAATCTATGGTGCGGACAGGAGTGTGGTTGACTATAGCCATACCTATAATCCAGTGTGGTCAGTGAGGCAAGAGAAACCAAAATGGCTTGATTGGGAGAGGGGTGTGGGTAGATGGATGAGATGGAAGCACTATGTCTCTTTAAAATTTTATTTAACTACACAATATTTTTCTGTATAGTCTCCTTAACAGAAGTGTCATCTGCTAGAGAGAGTGGAGCCTGTATCTTACACTGGTGCCTGTCTACATAGGGCAGGAAGAAACATCTAAAATTTTGTTACATCTAAAATCTTGCATCCTTTTCTCATACTGAAATGAAACCACTTATTCAACGAAGAATCTCTATACCATGGTATCTCCTAGAATTTGTCCTCACACAATACTACTTACATAATCATCTCAATATGATGCTTTAGTCAGGGATTCAGAGCTGATTCTGATTTTCGATTTGGATCTTGACCAAATCCAATAATTGTCTGGAAATTCCCTATTGCAAGGGAAGAGTAAAGTCTTAATACTTTTTTTAAAAAAAATGTTTTTTAAAAAGATGACCAGTAAGGGGATCTTAACCCTTGACTTGGTGTTGTCAGCACCACGCTCACCCAGTGAGCTAACCAGCCATCCCTATATGGGATCTGAACCCATGGCCTTGGTGTTATCAGCACCACACTCTACCCAGTGAGCCACAGGCAGGCCCCAAGTCTTCATACATTTTAAACAAAGCATTAGGTCAAGGAGAGATAGCACAAAGAAATCTAGAGAGTATGGGAGAGTGTAGGTAAACAGAAGGGTTTATAATTTTACTGCTGGCTTAATATGGTGAAACGACAAGGATAAGAAGCATGTTTCTTCTGTCCTCGCCACACACCCCAACTCCAGCCCTGTAGTAACTAGAATATAAGCTCCATAGAAGTTTATCACTGAATCCCCAATATGAGTATCTGGCACACAGCAGAGATTCCATAAATATGATTAATACATGAATGGAATGAATGAATGATAAGATTAAATTGTTTCAAAGTTCCAGTAAAGTCTTTGGGTACTTTTTGAGACCTACTGAGATTAGCAAAAGATATCGTTTTGCTCAGAGACCTTCCATCTGCCTACTAACAGGAAGAGGATGTTCTGGACGGTGAACGTCTTTTATGTATTCAACAAATGCTTGAGTGTCTAATCTGTGCCAGGCATTCTTACAGGCACTGAAGACATAGCAGCTTAAAAAAACATAAAAAAACTCCATGCTTTATGGAATTTATGTTCTAGTGAGGGAAAACAGAAAATAAATAAGTGAAATAACTAGTATATTAGATAATATTAGATGCTACTTAGAAAAATAAAGCAGGTTAGGGGAATAAGTTGTTTCCCTTAGGAAAGGCCTTATTGAGATGGTGACATGTAAGTAAAAGACTTTAGGGAGATAAGAGAGTTGGCCATGAAGTCCTCTCATGTAATTTCTCCTCGACCATCATAAGTTCATAGATGGGACAGACCCCTGTAATAAAAGACAGTTTTAAAAGAGAAAAACAAGCAAGTTTATTAAGTGTGCAGTGCGCATCACATGGGAAAAACCTCAATGAAAGCTAACTCAAAGCAGTTTCTTAAAATTCTGGCTTATAACGTATTTAACAAAGAACAATAAATTTTAGAGAAGTGACAGTACAAAGGAAGGCAGTTTTAGAGTTTTAGAGGTGGGAAACTGTGAAGAAAATAATGGAGTAGGGTTTTTTGTTTGGTTTGGTTTGGTTTTAAAAGATGACCGGTAAGGGGATCTTAACCCTTGACTTGGTGGTGTCAGCACCACACTCTCCCTAGTGAACTAACCAGCCATCCCTATATAGGGATCTAAACCTGTGGCCTTGGTGTTATCCGCATCACACTCTCCCAAGTGAGCCACGGGCTGGCCCTTGGAGTAAGGTTTGTTAGCAGATTCCTCAGAGATGATGTAGAGCTAGGGTTGGGTCTGGAGCTCACAGACCTCCTCAAGCCTGTTGTCCAGACTGGGTCACAAACCCTTCACATACAGGTCTTTGAGCTAGGTAACCAGAAAAAAGGTCCTTGGAGCTTTGGTTGGAGAAAGAGTAGTCTTTATTTCTGCACACACATGTCTAGGAGCTAGGCAGTCCAAAGAGAAACTCAAAACTCAACTGCTACCTGCAAAGTCCAAAGAAAAACTGAGCAGCTGCCAGCAAAGTAAACATGCTCTATTTTTAGATGCAAGCTCTCTGCCTGCCTGCATTTCAGGGCCACTGCTCCACACAACTCTGGAACACACAATAGCAACAAAACTAAAAAGATACATTGGCATGTATGTGCACTAACTCCCCTGCCACAATTTGTTTACAAAGAATGTGCTGCATCACACCCAACCGGACCTGAGGGGGGGGGGCCTGATTAAACTATTCTATTTTCCCAACTGATGATAACAGTTGTCTCCAGTAAAGGAGAATTTATATCCTATCTTTAGGTGGAAGGGGAAGAGGGCTGTATAAAAAGAGCCCCTCCTCTATTTGCTGCTTTTTAATTGCCTTTAGGTGAAAAATATTTATGTCAAAGAGGCATATTTTGGGGTGGTATATTCTGGTTTCTATCACTTTCTTGCTAAGTCTGACTCATGCAATGAAATGCATGCTTATTTTCTCTCATGACCCTATTATGTCTCTCTCCAGTCCGGCATTTTCTGAGAACTTCCTGCCATCAGGTCAGTACTTGTATGAACTTCAATGTGTTTCCCTCACGTTACCCTGTTGGCTCTATGCAAATCAAAGGTGTCTGCTTCAGTTGAGTTCCTATTTCAGAAAGTTTCCTGAACATTCAGACATGAAAATGTGGTGGCTAATCTACCCAGAGAGAATAGAGAAAACAGAGGAACATTAGAACAAAGCAGCACAAGAAAGTCTAATCTATGACCAGCTAAGATATAGTTATATCCACTCACCAGTTCTTGTGAGCTTGGGCAAAATGAACCATTTCCTCTAAAATAATCAACTCTAAATTGAGTTTTTTGACTTGTGAAGCTAAAGTCCAGGCCCTGGACCACATCATGGTATTGCCCTGAACAAACTATTAACTGGCTTCTATCTTTGACATCATCATCTCTGCTCTAATTTAAAGATCCCTTGCCCTCAGAGAGCTTATAATATCTTTTTCAAAACCCATATCTATGCATGGTAAACAATTATAAGATACTAAAAGATAGCTTATTTATATGCTTACTGCATATTATGTAGTATATTTTGTTCTGGTCATTCAAAGACATGCAAGACACATTCCCTGCGCTCAAGAAGCTGATGATTGGTGGAGAAAAGAGGCCAGTACAACACACAATACAGCAGATGTAAACACATGGTGCTTTGATATACTACTATATACTCTTATAAACATAGGCTTTGGAGTTCAGATCTCAGCTTTGCCTCTTACTACTTACAGATCCTTGGGTCCTTGGGTAAATGATTAGGCTTCTCTGGCACTTTCTTTCTGGGCAAAATAAGAGTAACATCTACCTCACAGAGTTATTGTTACTATTAAACTAAATAATATTTTTGTCTGACATAATTTAAGTGCTCACTTAATGGCAACCATTACCATGTAATTAATTTAAGACAATAATTCAAATAGACCAGAGGAGAAAGACATCAAGAAAGAAACTAAAGAAGTATGGCACAAAACTGACATTGCCTACCTCAACCAAAGGTAAGCATATGTATCACATCCTATACTAGGAAACACACACACATACATCCCTCACTTAGCATCCCAAGAAAACCAAACAAAAACACAACAAAACCAGGGTCTAGTTTTAGATCCTACTTTAAATGAAACCTTGAGCCTTTCTGTAAATTACTGACTCCCAAACAAAAACAGCTTTATTTCTGATTTTTACAGCATGAATATCTGAAGATATGGGAAAAGCTTTACAGATAATGATGTGAGAAAATTGCTATTTTTACTTTATTAACAAACTGTTAACTTGGTAAACTTGGTGATTTTGGGTATTTTCCTTTAAATAAATGTCTTGAGGGCCAGCTCATGGCTCACTCGGGAGAGTGTGATGCTGATAACACCAAGGCCACGGGTTC